TTCCAAAGACAAAATTACCTAGTACCCTGATTTCTTCTTAATATTGTTAAAATATTGACAATGGATTTGAGGAATAATTGCAGGTGTTGCTGAAATGTCCATGGATAGCCCAGCATGAGGTGAGAATGCCAGCTGAAATGTGAAATTAATCACATTCAATACTGCATAACCAAAAAGAGACTGCAGTCAAAAGTACTTTTGTCCAACTCCAGCACATACCCAAGTGCTTCCCACAAAATCCTGAATCCATCCTTGCATTTCCACTTAGAAATCAGGAGTTACTAAAGTGTAAAGACCTAACAGACAGTAACACAAAGTAACTTTCTCTATGCCTCTGGTACAACACAGATTTCAGTGTCTTAAACCAGAATCTTAATCATGTTCTGTACAAAACCTAAACATGAAAACAGCTTTAAAATACTCAAATTATACCATCTGAAAGATTAATTTAATTAAAAAATGTGGTGCCTCGTACCCAAAATACACCTTGAAATCACTTCAGTAATTAGCTTTTCTCTACACAAAACATCTCTGTTTTAACTGTTGGTTGTGGGACTTTCCACATCTGCAAGAATATCATCTTTCTTGACTATTAAAATGGCTGGAATCTAGTGGATGAGAAAACACCCAGGGTATCAGATCTCCCTTGAGCACTGGCCCAACATATGGTCCTGCACATTTTGAAGGATGGTGTTTGGGATAGTTGCAGAATATTTTTAAGATGACTGCTCTGCTGCTGTGTGAGGAACAGGGCTTTTTCTTATCCCTAAAATGACTGTCTTCAATAAGCAGTGATTCACTGAACTAGCCCTGAAGCTGCCTTTGGAAGCTCAGTATTCAAAAACCATCTGTGCCAGCAAGTACCAGGAGAGGGCTTTCACTTGATATTTAAACAAATTATACCCTCAGATATTTCAAACATATACTCTGTATTTATGTATTTTGGGATACTAGCCATAGGTCTTGATGAGAAGCCAAATCATTTAATTATTATTATTAAATACAGAAAAATACTTGTATTTAACCTCCACACTTTAATTCCATAATAAGAAATAAGGGACTTGAAAGTATGAAAGTTCTGCATTCATGCCACCTCAGCAGTACTCAAATATTTAGCTTGTAAAGCCACCTGACCTAGTCTTACAATGGCTAAGCCTTTTTTTAAAGCTCCAACTCTTACAATTACATGAAAATATCCGCTTCATAAACAAAGCAAACTTTTAATTCTACTTCTTAGAAGCCTTATAATTCAAGAAAAAAAACCAAAAACCACGGGAAGTGTTGACTGATAATATTCAATCAAAAAGAAACTAAGGGGACAAAAAAAGCAACCCAAACCTTATATTTAATCTGACAATAAAGATGCTAATTGAAGAACTTCAGGGCTTGCTGTCCTGAATGTTTGTGTCACCAAGTGCTGAGCATCACAGGACCACAGCACAGATCAGAGCTGGGCAGCACTGCTGCTAAGCAGTGCCCAGGATCCTTAGATACCTACTTTGATAATCACACTGATATAATAATCAGTAATTGGAATAGTAATAGTAATGGTAATAATACTAATAAGGCTGAATTCCAAAAAACTGTGACTTGAGAAGATATTTTCCAATAATTTTTGTCTAGTATTACTACAGAAATGGAAAGCCCCTAAAAATTCCACAAATGCAGTATTTTCAATTCTGTCAGGCAGAGAAGCTGAATCTTTCCAAAGGCATCTCTCTTCTCTTTACCTCTTCTCCTGCACTCTAGATCTAAAGCACATTACCATGATAAGCAGGCTGAATTTCTGATGAGCTGCTGGCTGTGTTTCTAGCAGATCATGTAAAACACGAGCAGCCACGAAAGGCACTGAAAAGGCAGCGAATGAAGTGCAGGTGATCTCACATTTGCTGTCTCTGGCTGGCTCTGAGTTCCTTTTGCAGTGTTCACTGGGCTCTAGGCCAAACTAGTTCAACAAGCAAGCAGGAACTATTCAATTTTGACGCTGTTAGATCAGTTTTCTTCCTGTTTCTCAAATGAGGTGGCTCAGCCCAGGGTGCCAGAGCCAAGGGAAGGGCAGGAATGCAGGGATTGGGATGGGACAGAGCCATAAACCCACTCTGTATTTGTGCTCTCAAACCAGTCACTCACTTGGCACCAGTGTTATTTGGGAACACCAAGCCCCTGCTCATTCACTGTTTTACAAAACATTGTTCCCATGTTTTGGAAAGGCGTTTTTAATATGGTTGCACATAGAAGCAAATTTTTTAAAAAAACAAAAAAACATGTAAAAATAACCTCACTCTAAAGCTGCTGATTTTCCATGTCCCCAGGTAAAAGTATTAAAAAAAATTAGCTGTACTAGTCCAGCAATGATGGGCCTGGTCTTGATAATTTATAATAATCCTGTCATAATAATCCTGTCATCCAAAACCAAAGGTCTATTTAGCTATGGCTTGAAAACAAGCAAAGAAGTCCAAATGAGCTCTGGCAATGTGAGACAGAGAACAAAGTTTAAAGAAAATACTCTCAAACAAAGTGCTGGTAGAAAATACTTACAGTTATTAACACAAGCTTTTTCACATTTCTAAAAGCTGTAAAAGAATTGTTTCTCTCTAGCTAAAAACCAGAACTTAAATAACAGAAATACTAATCTTTTCCGTCAACTTCCTGTCTTAAGTAGAATATCCATCACTACTCCTTAATTAGCCTCCTGCTCAGATGAAAAGGGTGTTATTTAAAAGATCCAATTTCCAAAAATAAATTCTTAGTATTTCTGTTAAACCAAGAAGCTGGACTGAAATCCAGCACTGCTCACTGAAAAATGGCCAATGCAATAAGTAAAGTGTAAAACAAGAGTTAGTGCAGAAAAGGGAAAATAAAGGAACATGCCAGGGTGGGATGATTTGTAAATGACATATCTTTGGATCAGTAAACATGCAGGTTCCTAGCTGCAACAAAAGCAGACATGTAATTCAAAAATATTAATGAGGAGACAAGCAACTTCAATGCAAAAACTGTATTTTGACCAAAAAAAAATAGCAGTCCAAAAAAACTCTGGCCAAATCAGACCTTGCAAGCAGAGATTATCAGTAGCAAGGGCTTTAAGCAGCTTAGAAATTGCTGTGAGAAATCAGAGTGTCCTAGACCACAGAGGAGGTTGGGTGTTTGAAGGTGGAATTGGGCTCAGGGGGTGTTGGTACCACAGAACCATAATGATGTTTATAACCTCCAGAAACCCAAAGAAGAGATATCAGACAGTCTTAGACAAATAATACAAATTCCCAATACCTTTTTACAGGGAAACATTTTGGAGGAGTTGAGTTTATTTCTGCACAGCAGCCCTAATAAGCTCAGAAGAAGAGCAGAAAGGGAGTTTCTGGGAGCCAAGCTGTGTGACACAGCTTCTGCAGCACTTTAGGTCCTATTCCCTACAAAAGGCATTGAATAATGCAGATCCAGCTTCCAAGACCTTGAAATCAGCTTCCAGGCAGCCATCTCTATCAGCTGGCCAGGATGGTTTGAAGCTAGGAGAAGAGGGATGGGAGCAGTTCCATCTGAACTGGCACACAGCTCATGGCTCCAGGAAATCCATGCATCGGCAAAAACTTCAGGGAGAGTTTGCCAATGCAACAATGGAGTTGTTCAGCAAAATTTGGGCTAGGAGAGCAGCAAAAGGAAGCAAAAATAACCAGAAGCCTTTGGAATTTGCCCCAGACCTTTATTTTTCCTTGAAGCACTGCAGCAAGAGAACAAGGAGCTTCTAGAGAGAGAGGGGGAAGCTGTTCATCATAATCCATTCAGATACAGAGCTCTGATTAAAATGCTTCACTCACTGAAGGTGACCACAATTTGTACATCAAATCATTAATACTTACAAAAGAACAATTATTTTAAAAGGACAATAGATAAATTAAAAATTTAATTGTCTAAATTTAATTATGTTGCTTAGGATAAAATATTCCTTTGGTGAAGTGTAAAAATCTGAAGGGATCCAAGTATTATCAGAAGGTTCAAATTATTTTTAAATGAGAGAAAGCCAAAGGTATGACCACCCAGTTGAGCTTCAAATGAAAGCTCCTTTGGGCCTGCTGCTGTGAGATTTGTTACAGGTGCATGTGGGGGAGAACAGGATTCTTTACTGAATGTAAAATAAAGGAGGGAGGCTGAAAGAAAGGGAATAATTACATGACAACACAAAACCTGAGAAACTCCCTCAGTCTGAAACAAATTTTACCAGAAATGGGAGCACCTCCTACATATCTGAAGTCCTAAGTCAATTTTAGAGTATAAACAGGATCCACTTCTGTTCCTAGCTCAGCTAATTCCCTAGCACTAATCTTAGCACACGAAAAGAGAGCAAAGTCAGATAAAAAGCTATCCAAAATGGGAAACAAAAAGGCCTTTGGAAATGCCTGGCATTTAGACAGTCAAATGTCTGAGCCAAAACTGTTAGTTTAGCTATTCAAAACAAAATGTTTGCATTTTCCTCAGAACAGGCATGTAATAGGGAGAATTCCTCTGACTCCACTGCGTGGGCAGACTCAGCAGAAGGAAAAGCAGCCCAAGTGTATCTGTACCAAACAACACAGTGCTCTGACAGAGCCACCCACAGCACTGCCACACACCACCCTGGCTCTCCACCTTGCTTAATATAATATAGATCCAGCTTTGGACAATTTGGCATTTATTGTGTAGCACGGCTACTTCACTTAAAATATCAGGAGAATCATGCTAATGAACCCAATCCTATTTCTAGAGCACAGTATTCTTATGGAAATTACAATTTAGCATGGTTATAAACTCATCTTTGCAGTGGTGGAGGACACCTTGACATTCTGGAAGAAGTTTGGACACATATTTATCACAAACCCACACTGGTTTTACTACAAGCTCTTGGTTCAAACTGTAAGCAAGACTACAGTTAGGGTTTTTTAGGTTTTTTTTCATTCCCTACTCTTTTTGGGTTTTTCCAGATTATGCAGAGGAGAAAACAGACACAACAGTTTAAGATCTACACTTCACATTGAACTATTTTAAAAACATTCTTTAATGACCTGCTGAAAGTTCACACTTGAAAATACAACTATGAGGAGATGCCATTTTAACTGTGGCAAGCCAAGCTGGGCTCCCGTGCTGATGTGCATTTCCAAAATGACACACCTGCCTGCCTGCAGCAGCAGGAGCAGCCCCAGCTGTTCCTGAGAGGCTTTGCAGGAGTGATTTCCCTGCTCTGGGTGCACACTTACCTCTCCTCCTATGGTGAGCAGGCCAGGAGCATCCAGCTTCCGTTTCTTGCGGGGGCCGATGGCTGCCAGCGCCGTCAGGTTGGCGTCCCTCTGCCTCATCTGGGCCAGCTCCTGCTGCTGCATCTGCCACACAGCAAAGAAATCTCTTTAGTTTGATTCTCTAGCCTTAGCTAAAAGTTATCTTCAGACCTGCAAGCATCAGGTGAAGTCACCTGAGAGCACCGTACTGCTCCCAGTACTACTCCAACAGCCTGGCCATGGAGCAATAATGAAGGTACTGAAGTTCTTGTGACTTTCACAGGATTTCTGCTTCCAAATACCTCAACTCTTTCCAAAACCACTATCCTTTTCATTAAAAACTGCCTTATATACTAACTTACATACTTATACTAACTATCAGTTTATGACTGACATGAAGAATATCATCAGTCACACTGGTGTTCCAAGCAACACCTCTCCCAGTCCATCCTGCACTGCACTTCTGGAGGACTTTCCAATGGCAGGAAGGACGGCCAGGCAGAAAAATCCTCTTTTTTTTGGGAAGGGAGAGCTGAGCTGGGCTGAGTTAGAAGCTAGAAACTTCCCCAGCCCTGACAAACCAGGACTGAGTGTCCATCCCAGTGTGGTTCCACCACCCAGCCCTTGGTTTAGGAGGCAGGAACCCCCCTGCCTGATTTTCCATCTCCCCGTCACTCTTCTGGCACCACCAACCCAATTTGAATTGAAATACCAATTCAAATTTTAAAAAACCCTCATTTTTTATCTTACATTTATTTTGAATTTCAAACATACTTGATGTTTTCTCAAAAAACATCTAAATTAATAAGATATCTCTATCTAAATGCTAGCCAAAGGTAATGCTGACACAAAACCTTTAAAAACTGACTTTCCAAGTGCTTTCTGGGCTTAGGCTTTAGGTAAGAATATATTTGACCAGTTTGAAGCAGCTGCCAGCTGCATTATGTAACAATATAGCACACTACAGAAAATAGGAGAAAGTGCTCTGGCCAGCAGAGAGGCAAAGTTGCATATTCACTATAAACTGTGTAATTCTTTCAGAGTGTTAACAAAAAGTGTCATATTCCCAAGAAACTGATGTTTTAATAAATATTCTGATCAATACCACACAAGAATAGTTGATTAGGCAACACAGTATATTATCTTAATTAGATAAAAGCATTCATATTTTTTAGCAATAATTCTTATTCATCTCAAAACTTTGAGTTTGCAAAATCTATCAATAAACTGAGAGGTGTTTCCTTTCTAATCCCACTGATGTCACTCTTGTTCCCACTTCAGCAGCAGTGCATAGAACAACACCTTGAGAAATTCATGGGTGGTAATAAAAACCCTGGAATGATACAGGCACAATTCCTCATTAAAATGACACTGAACTGACAAGCAGAGATAGAAGTGTCTCAGCCATTACCTACACATGATCTGCACATAAAAGCAGGGCCTGAACTATCTCAACCAGTGCTAAAAGGAGAGGTTTAAGCAAAAAAGTGCCAGTGTGGAGTGCCTTTTCTCCATCCACCTCTGTCCAGAAAAAGCAGATCCACTCCTGCCTCTTTTCAGGGCAGCTCTCAGATGAATTCATTTGGCAGCCAGCACACTTGTGCCTGAGCAGCTTTGGTGACAGGCTGGCCAGGGAGTGTTTCCAGCTCCAGGGATGGTGCCAGGGCCCAGCACTGCCCAGAGCCAGCGCAGGTGACCCAGGAGCTGGAGGCAGCAGTGAGGGGCACCAGAGCTGGGCACAGCATTGAGGTGTGGCCTCAGCAGTGCCCAGCACAGAGGGGCAGGCGCTGCCCTGCTCCTGCTGATCCAGCCCAGGTGCCATGGGCCTCTTGGCCCCTTGGGCACACTTTAGTTCACACTCAGCCACTGTCAACCACCACCAGCACCTCTCCCACCTTTGTCCAGGATGTGGACACTGGGACCAAACACAGCCCCAGCATCCTGACAGCACTGAGCTGGAACTGGGAATGTTCAACCTGGAGAAAGACCCCCAGAAAGACCTCACTGGGGCTTTCCAATGCCTAAAAGGAGCTAACAGGAAAGACAGACAGGGACTTTGGACAAGGGCCTGGAGTGACAGGACATGAGGGAATGGCTTCACACTGAAAGAGTGGGGATTTGAATTAGATACAAGAAAAAAATCCATCTCTGGGAGGTGCTGAGCTCCCGGCACAGCTGCCCAGAGAAGCTGTGGCTGCCCCATCCCTGGCAGTGTCCAAGGCTCGACAGGGCTCGGTGTAACCTGGGGCAGTAAAGAGTGTCTCTGCTCATGGCAAGGGGTGAACAAGGTGATCTCAAAGATCCCTCCCAAACCAAACCATTTTATATTTTCACATTCTTCAGAAAATTGAATTCAGCCATTTAGAGCTTGAAACCCCCGTTTTGAAACCCCATTAGAGTTTGAAATCCTGTCCCTTGCTCATGGCAAGGGATGAACAAGATGATCTCGAAGATCCCTCCCAAACCAAACCATTTTGAATTTTCACATTCTTCAGAAAATTGAATTCAGTCATTTAGAGTTTGAAACCCCATTTTTCACACTTTCATGCTTTCATACATTTTGCAAGTGCAGTTATTATCGTAACTTCAGTATAACATTATCTAAAAATACATCTCTCATCTACAGGGTAAAAGAATTTCCTAAATACAAAAAAGAAACGTAGAAAAATATCTCAATAATAGTGCAAAGGTCTATACATACTTCTCTTTGCCAACTCATATTAGGTTTTTAGCTCAAATATCTTTGGCTCTGTTCCAGATTAAATGCCAGTTAGGCAGAGCTGCCCGCTTACCCTTTCAAGGTAGATAGCAACAGTGGTGAGCTCTAATCATTTACAAAGGTCATGATCGGAAGCTAGCCCGTGAGCAGTCATTTAAAATTCCATTGATCCCTATTTGTAGTCAGGGAAAGAAAATGGACATTTCAGCTGTATTGTAATTATGAGGCTTCAAGGCAACTGTAAATAGATGTGCAAATCTAGATACTGGCAAATACCTTAGAGAAGAAATTATTACTATAGTATAACATATATCCAGGAAAGGTTGAAGATAAAACTGCATATAAAAAAAGATCAATCATCTTTTTGCTAATTTGCCTTGCTTGCCAGCCTACAAGGGTTATCACAATTATCAGAAGTCTGATGAATATTTAAGCAAGGGCCAACTGGCTTAGAGTGATCTCAGACGAAGTTGTCAAGCTTTGCAGAATAAGAAATTCTGCACTGGAGTAAGTATTCGTTTCCTGGGAGGTGCAGGTCAGAAATACAGTCTGATAGGTATTATGCAAAGGTTATATGAATATTGTATCAGTGTCTTATCCAAAGTCACCATTTGCAAACCCACAGGAAGCTAATACTTACTTGGCTCTCTGTGCTACACTATACCCTGGCTATTTCCACATGGAATATCAGCACATAGTGCCTCTTGTTGAGATTTTTTGCACATGTAAATTGTAAAGCAAAAGGTGCCATTTCTCTAAATTTCCCATAGTGGGATAAATCTTGCCCTCACTTTGAAACCTGCAAACTGGTTTTACCAAGAAACTATGGAAAAGCTTCAAGAATCTGCAGAAAGCTTTGCACTCATGTATTCCTCAGGTTCTTTGTCCTCTCTTTTTTATCAGTGAGAAAACTAAAGATGGTTCTTGCTATCATATACTAATCTTGACAAATGCACAATTCAAGTGGTAATCTTGAATTACCACTACCTGTAATTCATCCCCAACAGACAGAGCCAAAGGAGCTGAGCTCTGTTCTACCCACCCTGGGTGAATTCTGCTAGGACTTCATTCTTCACCTGCCTGTGTCTCTCAGCCCACATCACCCAGCCTGGCTGTGTCTGCCATAGGCTCTCCAGACAAGGATCCTCCTCCACTATGTGCCTCACTTATCATCAAGCCCCAGTGGGCTGAACAGACATTCCTGTAATACAAATAAGGAATATGCTGCCAGGTACAAAAGATGCAGACAGAAACACAACACAGTTTCTGATACTGGTTTTACAGCACACTGTGGTAAATTACAGCAGGAAAGAATAACCTTATGTAACCTTCATGAATGCTGATCAAAACACTTCTAATACATCAAACACATCATCAGTGGGATCACAGTATCCTGATGTTTTATAACATAGAGGCTGAAGTGTTGAAAATACTTGATAAATACTGTATTGCACTAATTCTCAACAATCTTTTATAAATTATCACTGATGGTTTTTTAGGCTTTCTTTAAAGCCCATCTGAAAGCAGAGAATCATCAAATTACATTTAAAAATAATCAGAAGTGTTATGATCCTGATACTGACTCCCAACAAGCCTTCAGCTTGCAGAGGTCAGTGTATTCCAGCTGACAGGAAAGCCTCTCTGCACACTATCTACCATGAAGCTGCTTACAAGAAAACATCTTTGCAGTTTATGGATACTTACTAGCAAGACATTTAAGAAGACCTTATTAAGATCCCAGACCATCCTTTAATACCATACCATTATTGGGTTCTTCATACTCCTATTAAAACTTTACCTTATTTTTCCAAGTCACATACTTCTGTTTCTTCATAGCCCACATTACATTACCTGCACCACTCTCTTTCCTACCCATCATCTGCCTTTCCATGAAAAATATTGCCCCCAGTTGTAATTTCTGGTCAAAATAATTTTTTACAAAAGCATGATCTTGGCTTTGGTTCCAAAGAGGGGACACTGCACCTTGTGCACCAGATGCACACCCTGGCCTGTGGAGGCTCTTCTCCCCAGAGCACTCTGGAATCACATCCTGTGTCAAGTGGAAATGACTTTGCAACCAGCTTTGGTTCCACTGTAACCCCTCTGAATCCTCAGCACTAAGAACTACAGGAATTGAATGTCCTCATCTTCAGTGTTCCGAAATTACTCTTAGAAGTACCTGTAAAACTAAAGCTACTTATGCTTCTGACTTTACATGATCAATTATATTTTCAAGCTAACAAAGCAGCCTGTTTCTACAACACAGTTTATCTTCTAACTAAGCCAGTTACTAATTACTGGATATTTAAACAAATGAAGCACCTGTTACTATCTGTACATCCTGATAAAATAATTTCCTGTTACTTAACATGATTTACCAGAAATT